TGTATAATGGGCTCCAGTTTCATCCATCTCATTAGAACTGATTCAAATGAATTCTTTTTAATGGCTGAGTAATATTCCATGGTGTATATGTACCACAGCTTCCTTATCCATTTGTTTGCTGATGGGCATCTAGGTTGCTTCCATGAAAATCTTGATTTCATTAAAGAGATCTAGTTCCCTAGATTTTTGTTTATACTTTAGTTGTGACCTTTTTGTTCCCAAAGTAAAATTAAAAAGATAAACAGGGGATCTGAGTTCCTGGTGAGTGACCAGGAAAGCTGGTCACTAGAAGGCTCCCCATCTCTTCCATCCTGGGAAGGCCTTACACATGAGGCTTCAGCCAAGCCCCCAGTAGTTTGAAGACAGACAGGATCAGGAACATTCATGTCCTGCAAGACCAAGGACTTGGAGGAGATATCTGTAATAGCTCAATGGGATTTAATGACAACTGGAGTCATGAAAGTTTTCTCTGCACTGTTAGGTATGAACTCTGCAGAACTTTTAGGGACACTAGGCTACAGATTGTGTGTTTTGAAAATTCTTATGGGACTTCCCTGGTGGCCCAGTGGTTAAGACTGCACTTCCAGTTCAGAGGGCAGGGGTTCAATCCTTGGTCAGGGAACTAAGATCCCACATGCCTCACATGGCCAAAAAAAAAAATCTTATGAGAAGTGCAAAGGGGTGGTTTTGTTTATAGTAGAGACCTTGGGGAAGCCTTTGGGGAAAATAATGAATATTGTCTCATGGGCTTTTTATCCACGCCACAAATGTGTTCCCATGCTTAAGTAACTGGAGTTCTGTCTGATTTAACTCTTCACTTAAGAGTAAATATCAATGTTGCTTGATGTTGGGAGTCTTTAAAACATGCTCCAGAATGATCCACTGACTTGGAATTTTTTTCCCCCTTATTTTGCAGTGATCCCGAGCAGCTGAAGAAAGAACTAGATGAACTAGTTAGTGCTATTGAAGAGCATTTTTTCCAGCCACAAAAGTATAACCTCCAGCCAAAAGGAGAGTAAACCATCCCAGCCTCGGGCATAATTACATTTACATACAGCTAAGCTGAACTTGATTTCTTAAGCAATGTTTTTGAGGGCCAAATAATTTAAAGTATTGCTAAAAGTATTTTTTTTTTAATAGACCTGCATTCCTCCTTACTTTATGTTTGAATGTGAAGGGAAATAAAGAAAGATGGCCCAATCTAACAAACCAACATTCCTTTTAAAAGGCTGAGCCTGGACATCATCTGAATTTAAAAAATGAAGGTTTTAAAAATAATTAACCTTCAAAAAACATGTTGTGCTTAATAAGCTTTCATTAGAATAAATACCAATTATGTTTGTCCTCTAAAGTTCATTTTATATGTAAGTGAAACAGCCATAAAGCCTATACAATTACTAAATTCTGGGCTGTCATATCTAAGCTAGCCACTTTAATATATGTATATATTTGCATTTCTGTCAAGTCCTTATAAGATAAATGAACAGAGCAAATGTTGTGTTTTAGGGAAAGTACAAATCACGGGAACCTATAAAGTTGAGCAAAAGATACTTTAAAAAGGTGAAATTTTTTGACCTAAAACTTTATTTCTAATTATGCACCATTATACATTGTGTAAGTGGTAGGAAAAAACAGCTTAACCATCTTTGTGTGGTGTGTATTCATTTCCTTTTTTAAATCTTGAATCAAACAGTTGGTTATTTGACACTTGCAAAGTAGATTATTGTAATTTTTTTTTTTTTTTTTGCTTTAGTACATTTAAATGTAATCTTGGTACTAAAGTAGCAAGGATTATAAGCAATAACTTCGTGACTGACCTTGATTTTTTTTTTTGCCTTGTTTTTATGTGATCACAATCTAAAACCAGACATTTCCAGGTTCATTATTTGATCTGTGCCTCCTTAACACTGATGGCCTTATAACCTTCCAAAATGACTCCCAGCAAGTACCATGACCAAAGACCAAACTGTTCTTTATATACTTTATATATTTTGTGTGATTTTTTTATTTTTAAAGCAAATGATTGCCTATTATTCTTAACTTAAATGGTTATTAGAAGTTTCAGAACAATGAAAAATTACAGTTCTATTGTCAATCATGTTTCCAATATGAAGGAAAGAATATCTGTATATCCTCATAATAACATAGTTTGTCCCCTACCAGCACTTTTAAAATACAATATTCCATATATTCTATCAGCTGCTTCATTGTAGATGAAATATTTATTTTTGTTTGATAATGTTTTCTAGTCTTAAACTGTACTCTGGAAAAAAGAAATTTTAGATCTGAGCACATAAAGGGTACTCCATCGCAGAGCTTGTCTCTGGAAATGCGAAGGGAATTTAAAATCTAGTCCTGCTTGATGGAGCTCAGGGTCTAATTGGAGAGCTAATACGCAACTACTGAGTACAGTGTTTACTCATTCTGTGACTGAGTTATTTGCAAAGTACTCAGAGTTGAAAATTGTGAGAAAGGAAATCATTCTGCCCAGAGGAGACTTCACCTTCAGGAGCAAGTAGCAGCTGAAGATGGAGAAGGAAGTCTTCGAGGCACAGAGGACAGCTAGAGGAGAAGTGTGGAGTGCTGGGGGCCTGGTTGGGGTGGGCTGGGGGGTGAAGGCAGAAGCCAGATGTACATTTCAGTACATGTCCCACTTCTCCCCATGAGCAGGGAGCGGGTGATTCAGCAGGACCTAGTGGAGATCCTCCTCTATTTCCAAGTATCTTGACTTTTTCTTGTTACTATGGGATGCAAGATAGCAATGTGCGGGGCATAAAACTTGCAACATAAGGCCCCTGCATTCTAGTCTTGGTCCACTGGGAACCAGCTCTGTGACCGTGGTCAGGTCACTTAGCCTCCCAAAGTCTCCATTTTGTTATTATTTACAACTTTATTTTTTTTTAGGGCAGTTCTAGATTCACAGAAAAATTGAGAGGAAGATACAGAGATGTCTCATACCCACCCTGCCCCGACACATGCCAGCCTCCCCCATCCTCAACACCCCCACCAGAGTGGTACATTTGTTACCATCAATGAACCTAAATTAATGCATCATTATCATCTGAACTGTGGAAACAGGAAAAAGATCAGTGAACGAGTGAGGAATAGTAGGCAGAGCACAGAGGATTTTTATGGCAGTAAAAAAATTTTTCTCTATGATACTGTAATAGTGAATACATGTCATTATACATACATTTGTCCTAATCCATAGAATGTACAAAACCAAGAGTGACTACTAATGTAAACTGTGGACTTGGGGTGATAATTTTGTCATTTTTAAAATAAAGAGATTTTACTAAATGGTCTCTGAGGTCATTTCATGCTGCAGGTCTTTGTATAAAAATCCATTAAGGGCACCATCAGCAATCATAAATCATCAGCAGTTCTCTTTGGCAGAATGCTCAACTAGCCCTCTTAAAAGAACTAACGTCTGAGATGGGGGGAAACATTTTGTACCACAGAGACTGGCAGCCTTGGGTTCCTATCCCGCCTAACCTTACAGCCTGGAGGGAGGGTTGGGGTGCTGAAATTGGGTATGAGGAAGGTAGAACTGGGTGACATGCAGATGTCAGGAAACACCAGCATGCTCTGCAGGGGTGGAAGGCAGAAATGGGGGCTGAGCGCTGTCCAGGAGCCCCCTCTGCCTTCTAGCTGAGCCTGCTTGGGGAAGACAGTACGATTTGATGTGGGGATGGTAGTCGTCTTCTCTTGATTCCTAGAAAGAACAAATCCAAGTGAAGTCCGAAAGTCCGACTTGTAAGAGGAAATGCAGGCTAACTGTTTTGGTTTTTTCTTCGTGGTGTTTCTGAAATAGAGATCTTTATTCTTCTCTCCCATAAGAAACATTGTCATTACGTCTCATTAATTTGTCTTATTGATTTAATTCTGTCATCATGCTATTAAAGGAAAGTATTATTATTTCTTGACACTGGAAACATGGTTTTAAAAAGAAATACTTAAGTAATGAAGCAAATGCATGTGTGCTTCTTTAAAGAAATTTTGAGAGGATGGCATCTAAATCGTGTTTATAATTTCTACTTCCTCAGAGCTATTTGCGTATTCGTTATATGTTCACTGATTGAGTCATGCTTTAATTTTGCTATGAGCCAGGCACTTTTCTGGGTCGTGATAGTAAACTTGCATTTGTGACCTAAAGTAGTCTAGACTAGCCGAGGAAATCCATATGGACACACGTGGTTGCTGCATTGCAGTAGTCAAGGGTTTGAATTATGGGCAGGCAGTTCTGTGATATCCCCCTTTGGCCTTGTCTTTTTCAAGAACATCAAATTTAAACTCCTAACATTTTTGCTCAAAATAATTTGACTCTGGGTGCTGTTTGCATGCCATTTCCCTGCTTCATTCCTCTGTCCTGTTCTTGCTACCAACACACTTTGTGTTGAGTAACTCAACCATTGAAAGCAAGATGTCATACTCTTTAGGCAGAGGGGAAGCAAGAATTAAAATAACGCTCCTTCTAGAGACTTCCCCATGTAAGCACAGGGCAGTAACTACTCAGAATCACTGGAGGAGAAAGATAGCTGTCTGGAGAGATGAGGCCCTCCAACATGAGCACGTGGTGACCAGGATGGAGAGCAGTGTTGGGGAATCTAGTTCCTCTTGGCTTGGCTTACTTGTGCAGGTCCCTGAAATTAAAGTTTTCTAAACAGTGGCCACTTCCTATTTGTGTCCAATGAAAGCCACTTTTGGTGTTTGCCATGAACCTGGTCCATAACGGACTCAGGCACCCAGAGCCAAGACTTGGCTCCAGGTCAAATAATCATTTGAAACCATTTCAAAGTAGCGTTGTGCAACTTCCACAGGTTACGCTTGCAGTTTACAGAGATGAAGGGACCTGATTGTGTCCTTCAAGTACATTGTTCTGAACTATTTCACCTTAGCTATTTTCCATAAATCTCTAGGTGGCAAGAATGAAATGCAGCTCCATAGCTGATAAGTGTTCCTAAAACAAAAGTAAACTTTAGGTGGAGGCTTGAGCTAACTTGAGATAAATTCTTTGCTGGTCCAGCAGGCTTCCTTATTTTTCCCTCTGAACCCTAAATTGGTTTATTCCCTGAGGTGGAATCATCCATTCTCTGACCTCTGAAAGTGCCTTTATGCTCAAAGCTGTCATTGTTCTAAGTGCAGGACACTTCAGTTAGTTCCTCAGATGTCATTCCTCCAGTCTAATCTGTACACAGCCACCTCAAAATACCTGCCTGGAGTCTTTGGTGATTTTAACCTGTGCCCCCTTTCCCTTTTAAACTTACGGAAAATTTCAAACGTGTACAAAGAATCATACAAGGAACCTCCCAATGCCCATCGCCCAGCTGTAGAAAATCATGGCCAATCCCATTACACTGAAGTCTCCCTCTTGCCCTATCTCTCTACAGGACAATTCTGAAGCAGATCCCAGACCTATCTTTGTATCTGTCATTATTTCAGTATATATCTATAAAAGATAAGAACATACTGACTCACACATACACACACACACCACCATATTACTCTGTTACACTTTAAAATGTTTACAACTCCTTAACATCATCAATTACATAGTCAATGTTCTAACCCCGTCATTTGTCTCATACGTGCTGTTTAGTCTTTGCTTGGAAAAAAAAAGTATGTTATTCGCTTAGTTGTGTCTGACTCCTTGCAACCCCATGGACTATAGTAGCCCGCTAGTCTCCTCTGTCAGTGGAGTTCTCCAGGCAAGAATGCTGGAGTGGGTAGCCATTCCCTTCTCCAGGGGATCTTCCTGACCCAGGGGTTGAACCCATTTCCTGCCCTACAGGCAGATTCTTGACCATCTGAGCCGCCAGGAAAGCCTCTCTTTGTTGGAATCAGGGTTCAAATAATATCCACTTACTGCATTTGGTTAACACGTCTCTTAAAATATCTTTTAATTTGTAAATTCTTCACCTTTTTCTCTTTTTAAATTTATTCCACACGGAATGATTTGTTGCATAGGGTTTCGCACATTGTGAATTTCACTAACTGCCTCCTCATCGTGTGTGTAACATGTTTCATTGTGCCCTGCCGGTCATGTAAGGTGGAATGGAAGATGGAGAAGCCTGATCTGATTCAGGTTTGATTTTTGTGGAACCTGGGGACAAGGGTAACCGAGGTGAATGTAAAGCTTATGCTGCCTTCTGTGCTGTGAGCAATACAGTCCTTTGCCTCTGACTCAGCAGCCTCACATGTCTTCTACTTGTATCCATGAATCAGTGACAGGCTGACTCATTAGCTTGCAAACAGATAAATTCTCAGACTCTTCACAGTTCATAACAATAAGAAGAGGGAAGTTGTACTACCAAATATTAGGATTTATTATAAAGATACAGTGATAAATTTGGCAGAGAGATTAACAGATAAACCAATGGAAGGAAATAGCAAATAATCACATGTATGTAGAAGAAATTGGTATATGACCAACATGGCATCATAAGTCTATCTGTAAGGGAAAACTATTGAGTTAAAAACTCTGCAACAATTAACTATTCAGTTGGAAAAACTAAAATTAGATCCCTACCTCAAACCATATCCAAAGCCATATGGAAAAGTAAATTGTAGTTGGATTCAAGATCTAAATGTGAACACTTTTAAAATCCTGAGAAGAAATTCACAACATTGTAAATCAACTATACTTCAATTAAATAAATATTTTTTAAAAAACTACCTGTTGCAGGCTAAAAAAAAATTTAGAAGAAATCAATTGTAGGAGATTGTCTCTATGATATGGTAGAGAAGGATTTCTTAAAGGAGGCATTAAAAACCCAAACCATAAAGCAAAAGAGTCAACCACATTCGTATAATAAGAGCCATTATAAATAAAATTAAAAGACAGCTCACAGTTTGGGAGAAGATATTTGTAACTCTTCTAACAAAATCGGTGATGAGTTTTTATATTACTTTTATTAACTTTGAATCCTACACAAACTTGTAAGCATAAATCCATTTTATACACTCAAGTGACACAGATTTTTAATTTTGATGAAGAACACACTCTCCTCACCTGTGATCCCCAGCCCATCTCCCATCTCTGCCCAGTGTCTCAAGCAAACTACATACTTCTCTGATTCTGGACCAGAGAGTACATTTTTTTCTGGTTTCCTTTTCACAGAGGCACAGTCCTTTACAGATGTCTTGGGCACTGGGATTAAGATAAGACACCATGAATAGGAACAAGAAACTAGAAAAAAGGACCCAATAAAACTATTAGGGGAGAAAAAATAAAAACAAAACAACTGGGTCAGTGCCACCTCCCTGCCTCCTACCAGTCCAGGGCCACATTTCCAAGCACCCACGTAGTGTGTGTGTGTGTGTTCGTGTATGTGATATGTTATGTCCCAGCCCCCGAGACCCACACCTGGCCTCATACCTCCCTCAGGCCATAGGTCTCCAGGGGTTGCTTTCTGGTTTTCTCAGTTTATGGAGGAAAAATTTTTTTAACATGTAGGAGATGTATTTTATTTAGAATTCAACTATACATTTAAAAACATTTTGTTCCATTTTATCTAGCACTAATGTCCATTTGAGCTGTGAACCTCCTGCATACCTGCTCGCTCCACATGCTGCCAGAACTGGCCCAGCCCAGCTGGGCAGTGGGTAGTGGGTAGTGGCCCACCCCACTATCACCCAGCAAAACCTCATTAAGGGGGAACAGGGCCCAACGGAATTTTGAAAGACTTTTAAGTTGTAAAATTTTAACTTGAAAAATGTTACTGGCTTTGAAGACACTTTCCAGTCCTGGCTGGAAAAACTTTGACCATTTAAAAGGGAAAAATGTTTCTGACTTTTTCTTTATAGCAATCATTACACTGCTTCTGAAGCAGCGTAAATGCTGAATTCCTGGAGTCTGAATTTCCAAAAAGATTGGGGTTACTTGAAATAGACTATTAGGTTAGTATCCTGTTCTCCCTACAGAGAGATGAAAGAGGAAAGAAAACTGATAAGTCCAGACAGGAAGATAAAGCAGAGAAACTGGAACACTGAAATATAACAATATGGCAGCTCCGCTACACACCAGATTCTAAGTACTTTGCTTTTGAGCTATGTGCTGCGCTCAGGCGCATCCGACTCTTTGTAACCCCATGGACTATAACCCGCCAGGCTCCTCTGTCCATGGAATTTTCCAGGCAAGAATACTGGAACAGGCTGCCATTTCCTACTCCAGGGGATCTTCCCAACCTGGGGATCAAACCTTGCATTTCCCACATTACACCAACTGGAAAGCCCTTTGCTAACTCATGAATTCTGTTGACAACATTGTAAGGTAAGTACAGTTATTTTTATTC